TTTTGTCTTTGTCTCTAAGGTGAGTCTTCCTGTAGACAGCATATTTATGGGTCATGTTTTCTTACTCAGTCTGCAACTCCAGGAGGCTTTTTTAGATATGTGCTGGAAAGTCATCATTCAGAAGTCTTTAGGAAAAGTATGGTGTTTAACTTTTGGGAAATGTTTTGGAAGAACAGGTTTTTGAAAAGACCTTTACTATTTGTGGGAGATAAATTTTTAAAAAAGAAGTTGATTTGAAAGAGTGATTATCTGATCTTCCCTTCTTGTCATTTTATGTAAGCTATTCGTAACTGCCTCATCTAAAAGAGCACTGCCTCCCTCCATAACCCTATGTGCTTTATTTTTCTTATTTTGTTTTAGAACAAACTATATACAACATTATAATAATATGCTTATTTTCCTAAATATAAGTGCCATTAGGGCATGACCTTCTCTGTTTGATTCATTGCTATATTCTCACTGCCCAGCAAAGTGGAGTATATATGGTAAGCATTCAGTATATATTTTCTGAGTGAGTAAATTGAATAAATGAACATGTTTAATTGGAGTGCCCAATGATGAGAATCTAAAGGATGGTTGTTGTTCTTATGATGTGTATACTTCTGAAAGGCCATACTTTCTTAGAGCTGGTTCTCCTTTTATATGAAAGTGTTAAGAGTAACTTTTATTTCAGTTTTTTAATGTAACTCTGATACTTTTGACCTTTATTGCTTGTTTTTTAATAACCTTTTGTTATTTATTGACCCTTTTTGTTCTTATTTCTGTTGCATCAAGTTACATCTCACTTAGGTTGCCACTCACTTTTTGCCATACAATTCAAAGTGAGATTTTAAAGGTGTTTTTCTTATTTTATTTACTGTTCAATACTCCTGTAAAATAATTATTGTTTATCTGTCTAGATTTAAAACACACCAATTTTATTATACTTTTGATCATATTATTACTATCTTTTAAAAATTTGCTGTCAGTGACAGTCCTACCTTATAAAAATCCTTTGCTCTTTTAAAATGGGGCTCTATTGTATTGAATGAGGTGTAGTGGTTTGTATGGGATACTCCTCCATTTGTAAGTTAGAGAGTTTTTTTGTAAAAGAGGCTCATGAATGCATCAGTTCTTTTCAGTTTTATTTGGTAAATTCCATTTATGTAGAGGAGAATGTAAGTATATGTACTGTACAAATTAATTTTTAATTAATTTTTAACTCTCAATCTAC